GCAGCTTTTTACTTTTCTTTCAGAACGTTATTTCCTTCAATATTTACACAACTGGCGATTGGTGCACTGTTTTCCGGGCAAGATAATGTAATACAGGCACGTTTAGAATACGAAAAATGCCAAATACGAACAAAACGAGCGTGATCCGCCTGAAAATCTACGCGCATGCGCACCATGCTGCTGCCAGTGAGTTAATCTAACCATCCTCGAAGTTGCAAAAATTATGATGGCTCGTGGTCATCAAGGCTTCAAAACTAAAAGGCAGTAAGTACACTATAAGCAACTACGAGAAACATTGGTTGCTGTTATGGAGGTACTTTTGCCAGTAGTTCAACATTGCAAAGTCACGTGCGTCACAATATAAGATACACTGAAGCTAGATTCACTAGTGGTACCCCAGATTCCACAACTACCGAAGAAAATTTTCTCGCTTTCTGACATTGCTCACCAATTGAAATACTCCCAAGACTTGAATATGTAGAAAACATAATTCGCTCACCTAATCATCCAAGGCCATGTATTCAACACTACGGGCCCCACTGAGCTAAAGCTACTTAACTAAGGTTACGGGTACAATTACAGCCATCTAAGCTGAAAGAGCAGTTTGATAAAATCAGATCGTGCCGAGCACCCATGCACTGACTCCTCCTAATAAACTTCCACTCTTCCCAGTACATATCATAGACAAAGCTCCACCGTTATATAATTCCGTACGATATTCAGTTTGAATCTCACGAGTAACTTTTACTATGCAAATGTTAACGATGAATGAGAACCGCATTCGAGTTGAAAAGGTGCAGTTTCCAAAACATTTTTCCGCTCATCTCATGAGCGGCCCCAAAGGCTGGACCGGAGTACTATCTTCCATAGACATACCACAAATCCCCCATAAAACTGCTTTGAAGAAGCGAGAAACGCTAAGAACTTCGTGGAGGCTATAAAACACAAAAGTACTACTGATTTACGAAAACATAGAAAGCTACCACTATAATGAGTAAACGAATGACGCTCACCTTTTCCTTTTCTTGCGATTCTCTTTCCTCCTGCCGTTTCGCCCAAACGTTCTCAGTGGGAGCGGGGACAGGCACGCATGTTTCGGACTGAAAGTGCACTATAACGAATGGAAAAACGTGAAGTCAAACATAAAAAAGAATTTTAAAAAATCAAATTATTTGGGTAATTATTGGTTAAAATTAGCAAAAATTAGCAGCGACTGAGCCGATTGTGACACGTTTGGCTATAAGGGCTCGCAGAAGGAATTCGTTATTTCCGTCAAACAAAGAAAATTTTGTACATGAAAAACGTTAAAATTGACACCAACTACACACGAGTCGGCAATGAGACTACGCTCCTTTTGTACTTCAGCAGACAAATGACAAAATCCATTCAGCGAATATTTTTGTCAGTTCCACAATAACCTTACAATAAATCTTACTTAAGGTCCCTAACCCACATACGAGTTCGGCAATGAGACTACGCTCCTTTTGTACTTCAACAAACAAATGACAGATTCATTCAGCGAACATTTTTGCCAGTTCCACAATAATCTCACAATAAATCTTACTTAAGATCCCCTGACAGTGACCCACGCAATAGTCAAGCGAGTGAGCTTCATTCGCGCCCGACACAGGAGAAGAGACATCGGGCGAGGTTTGTGATACTGCACATCTCCGTAACTTGCACGAACTGCAAAGTGGACGACGGACCAAAGAAGACAGCGGATGCCACGGCGCGGGACAAAGACTACGGAGAAGAAGAAGGAATAATACGAAGAACGGATTTGTAGATTGAAGTCGTGGACACATTCCCAGTGCTTGGCCTCGGTGGAGATTCTCGTTTAGAGGCTTCCGGAATCGTTTTACGGACTACTTGATTTTTCCCTCAATGGTCCTGCCGCGATGGCTAGAGCACAGACGATTAGAGAACGGGTGAATGTTCTAGGACTAAGCCTTGGAGAGAAGAGGGACCCGCGAGAGAGCGCAGCGGTTTTAAAGGGCTGATTCAAGTAGTCCGTCGACCTCTGGAACCATGACTGGAAGACACACTTCCACACTATATTTCCGGAAATCCTTGAAGAATTTACTGCCAAAAGTCATTCAATCTCTGGCTCGACTCTTTCTGCGCAACCTAATGGGATGCAAGACTTAGACCTAGCGGAAGACCAAGCAGACTTCAGTGCGCACAGTGTTACCACTTGAGGAGGGTGGTAGGACGCTGGATAAAGTATAGCCATTAAAGTAAATGAAGTTTCGAAAAGATTACCCAGCCTCATATCCACTCAGTTACGAGTCTTATTGGAGCATACAGACGCAACAGATTATTTTCCCCGTAATACCCCGATTTTAGTAGTGCGATAAATCAAAACTCACCCCGCTGTGTCCTGAAGATTCGGTGCCATCCGAAGCACTTTCTTGCTGCTCTCGTGACACATTTCCCTCTGTCGTAGGCTCATCGTAAAGGTTACGCCCTTCCGCCGCTGTTTCAACCTGACAACATCTAGTAGTGATAATCAGTTCTGCATTCATTGAACAAAACAACTAACATTTGTTTCTTGCAATTGGTCAACTATTGTAAAGCTTTGTCCTTCATCCGTGCTTAGTTCATTCGATTCGGCAACTCTCTTCACTACTCGAACAGCCAGTTTGTCGAGTTTTGTCATTTGGACATCTACAACACTTTGATTCATATTCAAAAAACAGAAAGATAGGACCATCTCGAACTCACCCTCCTCGTCTTCACTTCGTATAGCAAGTTCGCGTTGACGCGCTGATTCTACTACGTTAGCACAAAGATAGGGATTGCTAAAAAGGAATAGAGCAACAATGAGATTTTCGAAATAATGTTAAAGCTGAGCTTAATTCATGAAGGAAGAATGCCGCTGGCACGCTGGAAAGAAAGTTAGTGTCTGGGGTGGATGTAGCACTCGGCGAGTTGGCATAATACAGCGACAGCGAGAACGCCCCCAACGGAAACCGCACGAATCGATAATGGAATACCCCATTCAGCCATTGTGCAGCACATGACCACAACGCTGTCGCGATTGCACAACCGTGAGTTTGCCACCCACCTAAACGATACAAACCTGCGTTAAATCCTTCCCCCCGAAACTGGCGTGAGTCCTTATCCAAGTCTTCTCGGTCCGTGCTCTGGAAATAACGGGTTTAGAGAGGACTATATGGAATTGTTACCATTGAAAGACCAAACGATGAAAAGCCTGATGAGAAAGCGACGAGTAATCTTGAAGAACATCGTTCCACACAACATCATGATATATTGCCCGTGTAATCTTTCTAGCCTTGTGTACCACATCCTTATATAAGGACTAGGAGAACAAATTACGCTCCATTTCGGCAAACAATGCGAAAATTTGAAAAAATGGAGACATTGATAGAATTCCCACCAAGCATCGTAGCTTGAACTTCTGCTTTGCACTTCAACCGGCCTGAGCAAAGCTCGCCCATCATAAGCACCTGGTCTCCCTCCTTCCCTGGTTGTATTCATTTTTACGGCCTTAGATGATGTCAGAAGCTAACTACGAGTTTATAATTTTAGCCCCGCCTACCTCATGGCTTGCTTCGTCCACTGTTAGCCCACACCCCATTGTTTGACTCAATCTTTATTTTTTAGACCGCCGGCTACCTCACAACTTTCACAGTCAATCAACAATACTAACCTGGAAAATTCGTTCTCTTACAACGACTTTTGTCAATGACATTATTTCGATCAAACTGGTCTTTGGACGACTCCACATCACGGTTGAGATCTTCATGCAAAAAGTTATCGACCAACAAATCGGATCTTCCGCTCTGCAAATCACAGACATATACAAAAGTGCTCAACGCGAAAGTGAAAGAAAACCGATTACCGTTTCAGGAGATGACGGTATCCTCTCGTTGCTCTTTGTTAGTAAGACGGGCTCGTCACGGAATGAGCCTAAAATCATGTATTAACAGGCGGGTAATCACGTATCAATATTAAATAGGACATTTTAAGGTTTAAGAAAATTTGATTCCAAAAAAGGATATTCGTCAGAGCTGTACGTATCGATCAGAATTATCAAATATGAGAAGAAGAAGACGATGAATGGGCCACCTCGTTGCTTGACGGGAGTTCTAAACTTCTTGTTAGAAATGCGTTCTGAAACGGGTGATGAGCACATATAAAGCTTGTGTGTGTGCATGAACCAGAAGCAGATATTTGGTGTGTTTTTTGCCAGTTGCTTGTTTATTGTTTTTTGTCATTTTTCACCTATGCCTTGAAGAAAGGGGTTACGCATGAACAGATGGTTGAAGAGTTATTAACCCTTGGCGGCGTAATTAACCGGGGAGTGCCACGTGGCGCCGCCTAAAGGAGGTTAGTTTTGCCCAATGTTGAGCGAGATTTGGGCGCGCCAAAAAGAAGCGTGGTCCCTACGAGCTCGCTACGTGCAATCAGCATTGTCGTCAAAGGGTTGAAGCAACAACCCCAGATGAGTTCGTGTTGACAATCTATTCTGTAGGTGGGATAGTGTAGCCCACGAGTATCACAGATATGCCGTTATCGTGGCTCGAAAATGTGCGAGAATGGCGTTAGGGCCTCAGAAATTGAGCTAGTGATAAGTAAGGAAAGCTAATGGACGAAATGTCTCGCGCACAGCTCACGGCACGCAGCGTGGATTAAGGTTAGGCCGATGTCAGACTTTGCGAATCGCGCGATTAGCCAGCGTCTGCGGTCGCGTCGCGGCCAGTGAATCACTCAATTGGCTGGTACCGCAACGCGACCGCGGACGCTAGCGAATCGCGCGATTCGCAAAGTCTGACATCGGCCTTAGTGGGTAATCCAATACGCGCGGGTTAGTGGAGCCATAGAGCAAACAGGTTTAGATAACTCGTCCAGAACGCCCCTTCACATATCAAGGGAAGAGTCCTGGTTTATGACTTCCATCGAGGCGGATTGCTTCCGCTTCTTTTTATCATTGCAGTCAATCTAGCAGGCACATCTCCATTTGGCTCGCTGTACCCACCGATTTTGAACTGGAGTTGTCTCTTAACGGGGCACTGATTTATACTTGACCACAATTTTAAAACGACTCCCTCATCAAACGATTATAGAGGCCAACAATAAAGACCTAACACCCACTCGCAAAAAAGACCAAATTCAGACGAATGTGAGCATAGCAAATGTAGTGGTCCCATAGCTGTTACGAGACTAAACGGCAGGAACTATGCCGAAGTTTGCAGAGTCATCAAGAATGAAGTTCCCCAGGCGACTGATGTACGTTTGCTGAGTTGTTGGTAATCGTAACGCTAAGGGGACGGAATGATGTGATCTGAGGTGTCCAAGTTTTGTTGGTCCCCGTGTTTTGCTGGCGGAATAAATCAGGTTAATAACGAAGCCGGAAAATTGCACATTGGCCAAGAAACAGGAATCCAAAATCAACAAATGAAACGCGGTTTTCAGCAGTTTCTCTCACAAATGTATGCATGAGCAAAACAAAACTAATAAGTAGGAGATTACTGTGTGCAGGAATATGGCCCTTAAATAATTGCACTCACTCCATTTTGCTAATCCGCTCACAAAAATAATGAATCATGATTGTTTTCAAGATTTTGGCTATAAAAAGAAAGCTTATCATTTAATAAATTCTAGGAATTGGATAAAACAACCTTGTGTAAAAATGGGAAACATACGGAGTTTTGTTCGTGGTGGGCGTTGACTCTGTCGCTGCGAGGTATTTACTAATTCTGTTGCACTGTCGTGATATCGAGCTGGTAACTGAAAGAAGTAAATCAGGGTTAGGCTGAACAATTTCTGACATATGTTTAGCAAATTGAACTAACCATTCGTGTTTCATCTGAAAGATCACTTGCAGACTTTTGACATTCGTTTCGTTGCAAAGGATCTTCACTTGCCCACTTCCCTGAAGCTGTGAAAGAGGTAAGGTTGGTGCTAGAAATATACTCCAACTCACATTAGCCTGTTTCGAAGGTATGCCAATTTTGAATTTTTTGTGTTAGCATTATTTTAACAACGAACAATATCTGTCATGGATGTACACTCTACAGGGGGGGGGGCAATAAAAAAAGACATTTTGTCTCCAGACTCAATGGATTTAATCACACTTTGCTCAGCTCAAAGCGTGTGCTCCCAACTTAGAATTGAAGAGCGCATTTCATTTCATAAGAAAATCTTCATAGTGGCCATCTACGTGGACGGCATCAGAAAAGTTTGCCCCGGAAACATGGTGCTCTGGTCGAGCTCAATGGGGTTCTCGACTGATCGTGTACCGTTACGACGGGTTCCGAAGGGGTTTGCATAGTTAGAGCTAATGTCCCTAGGAAACTATCCCACGTTGAATCGATCCAAGAAATTATGTAAGAGCTTCAGGCTGAAGCAGTTACTGTAGGCCTCCCTGAGCTCGACGACGGTGACAGATGACGTCGAATCGATCCAAGAATTATGTAAGAGCTTCAGGCTGAAGCAGTTACTGTAGGCCTCCCTGAGCTCGACGACGGTGACAGATGACGTCATATTCTGAAGACGGTGAGGGTAGTGAAGGAGGGCCTGCGTGTACTTATAGAGGGACATTTAGGGAATATTTTGCTGAGGAACTTCCGTCAACGACGGCAATCTCTGCGAAGAAAAAAAAGGCCGAAGTGCGACCTGGGCAAAATGTCTTTTTTTGCCCCCCCCCCCTGTATATCTCGCCTTCTGAGTAGGCGCTAACGGATTTGACGTGGCAGTCGCCGCACTTGATAGAGGTTCGTGCGATTTCTATCCACCGCACGACCGTCACGTCAAATCCGTAGGCACTCCTACTCAGATGACGAGATATGGACTGTATATACCATTCTATCAGCGATTTATCAATGATTTGACCGAGGGCTCAATGTTGCGTTCCGGGAGAGAGGACGGGTTAGTTGGAAGAGGCAATGAAATCTATTCGAGCCGATATTAGGTTTGTGCTTTCTGTCCGTAAGGTGACAAATAGTATCGGTCGGCCGTTAGATGAATATAATTTTTCGTGTTCTAGAGAAAGTTCCTGTTGTTTTCCTACAAATATATTCATGTATTCACAGCAGAACCGGTCCGCTTTAATTCTGGAGTGAGGAGATGTTACCGGTTTTATCCGCGAGCAACCCACGATACGGAGAGCACAAACTTTTAGGTCGATCCAACCACCGGTATTTTCGCACACATCTATCATAGAGCCGTCACTTCTTATCCACACCAGTGATCCGCAGAGTTCATACGAGGTTGGGATTAGAAGATTCGGACTGTACTCGCTTTAGACTCCTGTCATCACTGTTTAGCCCTGGGGAATCTGAATGAGTTTCAGCAATCTCTCATAGGAGGTGTGACCTCCTCAGCTGTGACTCGGAAAGTCTGAGTGTGAAACAGCAATCTTTCATACAGG